TGATTCACTTAACAACAGGGTTACTAACTTATCAATTGCATTGATTCACTTAACAACTGAGGCAAAAAAGGTAAAAAAAATGGAAACTCAACAAATGTTTCACTAAACAGAAATTTTGAACTCAATTGTGGTCATTAGCTGAGGACTACCTGTATACCCTCCTCTCCAAGGTCATTAAACCAAAAGTGAGCCATTCAATATATATTTTTCTTGCTATTTATAAGAATCTAGAAAAGTGATGGTGAAAAACATGTACTGTATTTTACTTCAGAGATCACTGAGATAGAAACCCCACAATTTCTTAAAAGAATTCATTTTTAGTACAAATTAAAGAAATCTTGATAGAAAAATATTTGCAAATTTTAGAATTCAAGAACACCTTCCAAAAATGCAGTTAACTGAACTGGAACTGGTCTGGTTTCCAATATCACAAGTATTTATCTACTTCTTTGGTTCTAAGAGCATTTTTGTTCTAAAGTAATATTACCCTAAAAAATTCGGTCTTTATTATTCTACTTCATATTTACTTTTCAAAAATGAAATACAAAACTGCATCTTTGATTACTAATACCTATTCACAAACTGTAGAAAAACTATTCAGATTATATCTAAAAGAATAGAGTTCTTTTAGTAAAAAATGAAGATTTCAGAACTTTTCTAATGAGTAAATCACAATTTAAATGAGCTGCCCCCATTAGTGATTTAAATCTAATATACCAAGCATTACACATACCTAACAATTATTGTAATGTATAATATGTTAGTTTTCATTAAGATTTAACCAGGATGACAAAAGTTAAATCACGTGATTTTAGACCAAATCATTCTACAAGACATTTCATTTTATACTACACCCCCACTTAAAGATGAATCATGCAGGGGCAACTTCTTTAATTTAAGGAAAATAGAAATTATTATTAATAGTCAATCACAAAGAAAAATATTTTAGGTCTAATGTTTTAATGGATAAATTTCAAAACTGTTTTGCTTTGTTGATAGTTAACCTAGCATTTTCATTGTTAACTAATTATGACTACAGCTTTGTCTTGAGGTTTTAAACAAATCCATTACATCCTGTTTAAACACACATTTCACATCTTGATTAAAACCAGACTATAAAGTGCTGCTGAGTGAAGTATTATAATATTACTAAATGTCTGTTAAATTACTGCAGGTGTCCATATCACTTTTAAGTCACAGAGTTATACATAATGTATAAATATATATTCAATTTTCAATTCCAGAAAGCACATTTCCTCTATACCAAAATAGTTCATAATTGTGTTGTGTGGCTGTTTTGAAACAATATATGGACAGGCACAATAGAAACAATTAATTCCTCATTTAACTTACTTTTGAGCAATGGAAATAGAATAAAAACTATCTTACCCAGGAAACCACCTCCTTCTATTGCATCAAAATTGTTTGGGACTGATAGTCCATCATTAGCAGGGCATGTAGTATCACCTATTAACAAAATAATCTATTAGAAATAAGTAACACTGATCACAGCTGATATCATAATGTAGATTGTAAATCATAATTCATAGCTTAACATTATGTGTAAATAGGGCCATTATGACCCATTCAATATACTACGGTTAAAATAAATCATGGCTCAGTAGAATATATAAACTCAGTCCTTGCTTATGAAGTTAAAAAAACTTGGTCCATAAAAAATTATGCTATACTATCATGTTTCCCCAAAAATAAGACCTTCAGGAACTTTTTATGCGACCAAGGCTTTCCTGAAAGCCTCTGCAGCTGATAAGAGCTCTGGATTGATCCGGAGCTCTGTTATCGGCTGCAGAGGCCTTCAGGAAAGCCTTGCCAGCTATAGACGAAATGGGCCGGCAAGACAGCTGCCAGGGTGTGTGAGGTCTGGCTGCAACTCTCCAAAGTTAAGTAATAGGGCAAGTCCATCCCTCCATCCCCACCCTAGCTTAATTTTTATCCATGCACATTGGAGTGGGCGGGGTCTTAATTAGGGGTTATCTTGAGGGGAGGGTTTATAATGGGTGCATGTGTAAAATCAAACTAGGGCTTACTTTTGGGGTAGGTCTTATTTTTGGGGAAAGTGTTTTTATTTCTTTTCAGCTGTTAATAGGTTTCCTTTTCTCCTAAATAAAGTATCACCACTGGAATTGAATCATATTCAATTACTCTTACATAATTCATGTTTTTGCTCTTAACTGTATGAAAGCAGTTATTCCTCTAATAACCACGTTAATGCTTACCTTCTTGCATACTTGCTGAGTTCTGTACAGCCTGGGATGCAGTGCTTGCTGGGGGAGGAGCCAAAGGGGGAGCAGAGGGGTGTGTATAAACTGGACTTCCAACTGCAGAAGGTCCTAAAGGAGGTTGAACTGGCAAATAAATGTAACTGATTAGCTTGCGGTGGAACAGTATCCACAAGAACCAGTAGAACTTACACCTTTTCTCAGTTTCTCAATGAATTAATTTTGATACAGAGTCTGTTTATTTCTTAGTTAGCACAATAGCAATAGCACTTAAGATTTATAAATCACTTCACAGTGCTTTTACAGACCTCTAATTGATTTACAGAGTCAACAATATTGTCCCCAACAATCTGGGTCCTCATTTTACCAAACTCAGAAGGATGGAAGGCTGAATCAACCTTGAGCCTGGCAAGATTCAAACTGCCAAACTGCAGTTAGCCAGCAGTACTGTACTCTAAACACTGTGCCACAGGGGTGGGCACTATGGCCCCTTTACCACCTATGGATTTCAACTCCCAGAATTCCTAGCCAGCTACTGTGTTGAAGTCCACAGATCGTAAAAGGGCCATAGCAGCCCACCCCTTCTTACAGTTTAGTGCTAGGTATAAATCAAATCATTATTGCAGATTTGGGGGGGGGGAACTAAAGTAATTTAAGTTTAATGTTAACATAAGCAAAATCACAGATCTTACCCAATGCAATTATCCCATGAGAAGTTGCTGACGAAGACGAAACGCATTACTACAGAATCATACAGTGTGTTTCTACAGCTAGAGATGGATTATTAGGTTTCCAATTCCCTTAAATACTACAATATAGTGACTCACATACAGTTGTTCTATGCAAATATATGTTCTATATAAGTGTATCATATCATTTAATAGACAAGAGACAAGAAGTACAGAGAATGCAGCAAGAACGAAGTTCAGCAACCCAGGCCAGCATATCCATTCTACAGCAGGGATAGAATGTTCTTTATAGCTACCTTTTTTCTCATCACCACATCAGCATTACTTATCTGTGGCAAGACAGAATCAATACAGGTAGTCCTCAACTTACAACAGTTCATTTAGTGACTGTTCAAAGTTACGATGACACTGAAAAGTGTGACTTATGACCATTTTCACAGTTATGACCGTTGCAGCTTCCCCATGATCATATGATCCAAATTCAGACGCTTGGCAACCAGTTCATATTTATGACCGCTGCTGTGATGTGATCACCTTTTGTGACCTTCTGACAAGCAAAGTCAATGGGGAAACCAGATTCACTTAACTAACTTATCAGCCGCAGTGATTCACTTAACATGGGGCAAAAACTCACTTAACAAATGTCTCACTTAACAACAGAAATTTCAGGCTCAGTTGTGATCATAAGTTGAGGACTAACTGTACTTGCAAGTTCATATTACAGCCCATCTATATATTATATTCTACCATGCCACACAGTTCTACTATAATTTCTTAACCCCCAGAAATATCAGAGAGCTGAAAATTCACTAAACAACAAATCAGTTGCCAACTAATGACTCACATTAAACAGCAAGAAAATTTATTATTGCTAATGAAATAGAACATTATTGCTAGTTAGGGTTTGAAATCTTATTTGTTTAACCTACTGGATTAAGGAATCTGCAACCCTCCAGATATAATATTCTTTATCTTTGGATATGCTGGTTGATGCTGCTGAATACTGTAACCGAATTACAACTTGCAGTACTGTCAGCCAACAGAGCATTTGAAAGAGACTAAACTGGTTTTCCAACTCTGTCATGAAAGGGGAATCCTTCTGACACAAATTTGTGGAATCTTAGAAGTTGTAAAGGAGGAGGAGACTGAGGGAATCCCATTATTTTAGTACAAGCCCATTTATACAATCCTTGGTTTCATGTTCATAAGCATTTTGGGAATATCTGGGATGAAAAATACCTAGGATTTTTCCCTAGATGGGATATGAGTCTTGGAATTGCTTCCTTTTTCTTACCTTGCCTTGTATAGGTGTTGTGAATTGGAGGACCTCCAGCAGAAGAAACATAATGGTAGTTTGTGGGCAAATTTGTATTCCCTGATGGCAACAAGGGTGAAGTTACCGTGTGAGCAAAATGATTTGGTTGAGATACTATATTAGGTTGAGTCAAAGGATTCTGCATATATTGCCGGTTTGAATTAGCTGAGAAATTACTTCCAGAATAAAAACTACCATCAGAAGTTGATATAGCAGTTGAGTTCTGCAACAAAGAAGGCATTTGGGCAACAGGACTTGGCTGTGATGCTGTCAGAGAAGATCCCATTGGGGTTCTATTAAGAGTCTGACCAGAAGGTATATTCCAAGATGTCCCATGGCTATATTGTCCGGAGGTGGCATGCAGAGGATTCTTTGTTGCAATTTGCTGAGTATACATATTTGGGATCAAAGAGTTATGTCCCTGTCCATCTGATAAGTGTGATGAATTCATCAATGAGCCTGGCACAGGACCTAAAGGAAGACATTTCCAATTAATAAATGAGAAACATTTTTGTTGAGAAACCTTAGGTTATTTCAGTAATTAAAATAAAATGAATAAGGCCAACCACTAACTTTATTTGGCTTTACAAACTGCCGAACTACTCAGAAATCCCACAGCTTCATTACTGTATGTAATTCCATAATAAAAGGTACGGATACTTAAGATGTGTAAGTGAATCCCGGCAACTCCACAACTGTACAAACCCTCTCTTTAGCAATGGTTTAAAAGAAGTCATAGGGAAATGCTGGAGAAGTAATAAAAAAAAATCCAAATGAAGTATAGCTACCCATGGGCACCATCAACTTCAGCATTACATTAAATTATGTAATTTTAAAAAGGATGCATTTTTGTCAACAGAATAACCATTACCTGAAAATAGAGAACAATTATCTGTACGTAGTGGGGAAACCTGGAGGCATAATGGTATTACAAGACGCCAGGGAAGGAACTGACAGAAAGAAATATATCAGCCACCTTCTTTGCTATGGCCAACTAGGTATATTTTCTAACAGCATGTGCTGTTATTTCAAAATAGCTATACGGATTCTATATTTTATCAAAAGAATAAGAAAAAAAGTGGCTGTTTAACTCTTTGTCAATAAAAAGTAATAAAAAGTAATCTTTTCCTCCATAAGAAGATTTCGGAAAATAACTTCAATGCTATATAATTGGTCAAGCAATTTATATAACAAGCTCTGAATGATAACCAGATAAAATTAATATGTTCCTGTATGAAAAAGAACATATTAGGTATTTCTTCAAATTTTCTGCAACTTGAAACAAGAGTCTCAAACTGATGGCTAACCTCATATCCAGTGACAACAGGAAATAGGCCAACATCTTGTGTGGCAGCTTCAAGTAGGCCACGTGTATAGACAGCTGAACTTTTAGCCTCACACTGAGGCATCGCCAACCACATCAAACAGTAGCAGTGCCTGAGGAAGCAGGTCCTGTCCCTGCCTGCAATTTACATCAAGCTAAGGCTAGGGGTGCAGCTGTGTCTTGGTCTACTTCCTGTGGATGCAGATGCTTTTCACCCTATTGTTAGGAGGGGTCACAGCAAACAGTGGGCCGAGCAGGCTCTAGCAGGGTTGGACTTTTGCTCTCATTTTCCCAAGGTGCCTCAAGGAAAGACCTTGCAGAGGGAGACAGTGGTGGGATCTGTAAGCCAACTGCAGGACAACAGCTGGGCCCAGCTGTGGTAGAACAGAGGGATCCCATCTCCCCCACCTAGACATTCAGTGCTTTCCCACTGCAACTTCTCCTGCTCACATATTCTCCATGCAAGAGTGACTCACTACACACCTAGCTCTAATATCAGTAACAACTGCAACTGTCACTGCATAGCAAACATGGTAGCCAAAGTGAAATGATGAATAAGGAAGGATAAAAATGATGGATGAAATTTAAATTAAAAAGTCAAGTTTAAAATGAGATGGTACACGTTTTCTTAAAAATTTCTTAACAAATGCAAAATGAAAAACATAACTTCTTATAATATACTAATCTTTATAATATTCAGTAGAAGCAAGCATGATAACAGGCTTGTTAACTAGACTTCTCAGTAAAAGAGCAATGACTAAGAAGGTTAATGAATAGTGAATATGAGTACAATTTATACAATAAAGAATCTATGCAAAGAATGGAGGAAAGAATACAAAACAAAGCAAAAAGAGAACAGAGCACACTATTGCAGTTTCAAGGATTTGAGAACTAAATTCCTTATCCAAAGCTATGTTTAGTAAAAATTAATAATATCAATGGACAATTAATTCTACCACCTTTCGGAAAGTTTTAATATAGTTCTCAACTGTGGAAAAACAGACAAATCATTTTATCTAAATCTGAATTTTCTGATTAAGTACATACACTTTCTAAAATTGTATCTACCTTTCTCGGAATTCTTAAGACTATTCATTCAAAGTTATATCAAAGAATATATAGGTACAGGTGGTCTTTGACTTACAGCAGTTCATTTAGTGACCGTTCGAAGTTGCAGTGGCATGGAAAAATGTGACTTATGACCATTTCAGTTATGACCTTGGCAGCATGTGATCAAAATTCAGATGCTTAGATTTATACATATGATTGTTGCTATGTTCCAAGGTCATATGATCACCTTTCACGACCTTCTGACAAGCAGTCAGTGGATAAGCCAGATTTTCTTAGCAACCAGGTTAGTAGCTTATCAACTGAAGTAATTCACTTAACAACTATGACAACAAAGGTCGTAAAATGAGGTAAAGCTCACTTAACAAATGTTTCACTTAGCAACAGATATTTTGGGCTCAATTGTGGTCATAAGTCAAGGATTATCTTTCAACGATTCTTTTAGTGACTGTTTAAAGTTACAAAGGCATTGAAAAAAGTGAGTTATGACCATTTTCCACACTTACAACCATTGCTGCATCTCATGGTCACATGATCAAAATTTGGATGTTTGGCAACTGACTG